TTGTTGGTGAGGATGCAGAGAAACTGGATCTTTCAGGCTTTGCTAGTGAATGTAAAACGGCATAGCCATTCTGGAAAATAGTTTGGTAGTTTCATTCAAAGTGTAAATGCAGTTGCCATGTAACCCAGCAATAACCCACATGATCCTGGATAAATGAAAATTTACGTCCATGTAAAAGCCTGTCCACGAATGTTCATAGCAACTTTGGAGTAGCTCAAAACTGGAAACAACCAAAATGCCCTTCATAGATAAATATTTTATCAGCATGCAACAACTTGGATTTGTATCAGTCACATTATAGTGAGTGAAAAATGCCAGTCTCAAAGGTATGATTAAATTTGTATAAGATTACCAAACTGAAAAAATTATGGCGCTACAAAACAGAGTCGTGATGGCTAGGGTGTAGGCATGTTTAGGGGTGCACATGACCATAAAGCAACAGCATGTGAGAAATCTTTGTGGTTGAAAAATAGATCTGTATGTTGATTACAGTGATGTTTATTGAATCTACATTTATGATAAAATGTCACTGAACTACACATACACATGGTACCAATGTAAATGTACCTGGTATTGCACTACAATTCAATAGTATTTAGCTGGTTAAAGTACATTAGCCCTGTATAATATTTGCAACTTCCCGTGAAGCTATTACTTCAAAACAAAATGTTTTTTTAAGGATGCCTTGCAGAAGCCACAAAACCAACACTCAAACTCCACAGCTTTGTAGACCCAGCTAACTCTACTTCAGGGAAATATTAAAAACTACTATAGGATATGCTCCATGCAGTCTATAAGGTCTAGGAGATACTTCTGTGGTTATTGCTGATTAATCAGACAACACTGATCCCTCTTTTTGCCATGGTTCTTAAACTGAACGCACTTTGAACAAGTGACAGTGTAGAAAACTAGTCTTACTGACAGATGGATTGGCGACTTTCAGAGCAAAGACATTGGCTCTAAGGGCGTTTCACTGACACCACCAGAGTGATTTCTGCAGTGCCTGAAGCAAAATAGAAGGAAGCTGGTAATGAAGGAAGCTCCCCATGGATTTTGTCTCTTAAACACAAACGGGCAAGTAAAACTTGAAGAATCTAAAAGGATTAAGGGACTGGACCAAAGGGCTCATAGTGTTATAAGTCTCTTCATGGCATTCACAAAAGAACCTTCTGGAAGATTTTGGAAGAAATAAATTTCTCGCACTCAGGAAAATGAGACTTGAGTTTGAAAGGTGGATCCACTTTAGGTTTCATTTCCTAGACAGCCTATTCAGAGAAGGCAGGCCTGTTACCCTCACCATGCATTTCCTGTGTCCATATGAATTTCTGGGTTGGGGACCAAGGTAAGCAGGAAGGGTCTGTGATCTAAATGTCAGGGTCTTCTACCTTAGGACCACCCGTCCTTGCTGACCCAGGTGGGTTTTCAATACAGAATTCAAGGAGTTCTTCAAAACATCCAGCAGAGGGACCCCTGAACTAGTTTGCAAATGCTGATTTCGCCTAGCCCACCTCTTCCCTGCTGCTCTTTGACCCTTAGGATGAGGAGTGTAAGCGAAGGAGAGCTGCATTTAATTCCCAGGAAAACTGAGAGCTATCAAATGCTTTAAACCGATTAAAACATTATGATCTGGGCAGCCAGTGTATTGAATGGTGTGAGGGGCATTACTCAAGTTAGAGATCATGCCAAAAGCAGCTTCAAAGTTCAGGCAAGCAACAATGTCCACCGGGATGGAGAGAAGGGAAAACACTGACCATAAAAGATGGCAAAACTACCAATGCAGGATGTCTGACTGTATGAGGGAGAAACCCAGGTGTTAGGTTCTGACAACGGACACGGGAATGTCAGGACAGATCTATATCCTTTCAAGTAGTATGACAGTAAATGAGAAGGTGACAAGAGTTGAGGGTGTCCAGGGGAGGTCACCGGGGCCCTAGGGAGTGCTCCATCCATCATAGCCACAATGATTAATTCTCGTTTGCTGACATCTTTGCTTTATGAATAGTTTAACAAGCAGCTGACCTTTGTCTTTATGGCTACCGGGAGGCATGGCTTAGAGTAAAATTATTCCAAAATTCAGATCATTTTCAAGTAAATACCTGAAGATACCAGCTTATAATTTAACATCTTATACAATAATGCCCTCAGTTTGATCATATAGCTTCATGGGAAATGGCTTTTACTGAGATTGTTTTATGGCTTTGTTGAGAGTCTGTTAGCACCCACTTCACATTTATTAACTATAGATTGTTGAGCCACTGGTCCACAGCATGTAATTTTATATTCGAGCAGACAGTAAGTTGTCCCTTGAGGAAGCCTTTGATCTTTACAGCAGGACACTCAGCAGACACCTTGACGTGTGTCTGGTTGGATGCGGGGGAGGTGTGAGCACACTATAAATCTCCCATAGCAGTTCTTTTGTGTGAGGGTCTTTGCCCCTTTGCCCCTGCTACAGGTTATTCCATTCAACATATTCCCATATGAGGAATTTCCAGGCAAAATAGTACAGATAGTTTTAAAACCCTTGAAGATGCTATTGGCTAAATTTATTTCAGGGCGACTTATAGTAATTTATACTTCCATCGGTAGTATGTAACGAACGGTGCCCGTTTCATAACAACTCTACTTACGCTGGCTCTTCCCTGGGCTTTTATTCTATTCTATGTCCATTTAATGAATGAAAATGGGAATACTGGTCTAATATTTCTGTCTGAAATATAAGTGGGGTGTAACATTTTTCATTGTTATTTGAGACGTGCATTTCTTTTGTTTTTTTTTTTTTTTTTGTTATCTGATACCTTTTGCCCATTTATTTACAGGGGTTTTAACATTTTTTTTTCTCCATTATAACATAAAAAACTGTGTACAACAGTTATCTACATTTTGGAACTTTCAAATAAATGGGTCTTTTTCACTGCTTCTTTTTTTTATTATGTTCAGTTAGCCAACTTATAGGACATTATTACTTTTTGATGTAGTGTTCAATGATTCATTAGTCGCATATAATGCCCAGTGCTCATCACAACATGTGTCCTGTATTTTCATGTACTCCAAGTTTTGTTTTCTGCCTTCTGATTTTATAATGTCAACTGTTCTTAACCTTTTCTATTCAATATGTGGCTAATTAGCTTATTTATAGTTAAAAATTCATTGTTATTATAATTTATCTCTCATTAGAATTGAAATCAGATCTTAAGCCCTTGGCATTGGTAAAATAACGTTATTTGCCTTTATATCAGATGTGAGATAAGGTTATTTGCCTTTATATCAGATGTGAGATAAATAAGATGGATGTTTATGGCTTTGTTTCACCAAGAGCAACTTGCTCAAGCACCCAGTGAGTAAATAAATAATTTGGAAGAAGCCATAGAAATGATAATAAATGAACTAAAAACAGACAAGAAATACTGAATCCATGTGACAGTTTTCTATCCCAGAAAACCCTCTTCTGGGGATAGCTGTCAGCTGGGGCCAGGCTATTGCTCTCAATGGGCATTAGCTGTTGTCCTCAAAATAAGTTAAGATTGATTTAGGACAGAAACACAGTACTCGCTGACCCAGGAAGTTTATAAGAAACTCTCACTGAATTTCTGGAAAATCTAACCACTTGGACAACTTGCCAAAGATTCCCTACAGGCAAGCAGGTTACCTCGTGGGACGAGTTGCCCTAGAAATTTGGGCTCTGCATATGCTAGGAATGGACTCTCCATTATATACCTTCATCTCATAGTATATAGGTTCAGATTCCTAAGTGCCAATGGATTGCACTCGGAGAAGAATTTCACCTTATCCTATGACAAGAGAAAAGAAAGCATGTTTGGACACAGGTGCTGATAAAATTATGGGCAAAATTATGAAGCAAGTAGTAGCCACAACCCAGGTATTGAGGGTATGACTTTAAGCACTGCGGCAGATGGGATAGTAGGCAGCTGCCGGAGTAACTGACTGGACCAGTGGTACGCCACTAGGTGGCAGAAGAATTCCACTATGGCTATTTACCTTGTTTCTGGAACTTAATCTTTACCCAGAGAAGAGCGCTTTAGGGTGGGAGTCCTGATCCTTTTAGGGCGGTGGAGGTGGCGGCAGTGCCTGATCTTGGTGCACAGGAAGAGACTTGTGACTTCAGGAAAGTCGGCTTGTATTCACCACTCTGGTGTGTGCATGAGTGTCTTTCCCCAAAGCACTCAAGAAGTGTCTGTTGCCTTCCCTCCCACACCACCCTGCACACAAAGGTTGACTAAGTTATTTAGCAACCTCAGATTGTATCAGCTGACTTCCCCTGTATGCTTGGGCTTATGCCCCCCCCACTCCAACCATGAACTTCCCCCTTAGACCTCCATGTCACTGGTTATGTATCTACCTCCCTTTCCACCACCACCCGCAATCCACATTGGAGGCTTGTGTTTCCTTTTCCCTTTTATAAGCCTTTGCAAGGAACATTTCCATCCTAGTATCAGTGTTTTGATGAAACCCACATCTCCTGTGCTGCTGGATACCCACCATGGGCCACATAAATATCCCCCGCTGGTCAAATTCATCTACATAGCTAATAAACCTGGATACTGGTGCTGCGAGAAGATGGTCCTTCTTTCCCACGTAGTCTTAAGGAGAAAAGTCTGCTTCAAACTGAAGCTTTACTGATTTGTGCCATTTAATTAATGTACTGGAGCCTTAGATACTCACCTACAAAATGAGAATAATAATGCCTACTTTGAAGGACTATTGTGAGGATTAAATCAGAGGAGATATTCAGCCTCCTCCTGATTCCACTTCACTGACTTGTGAAGTTTTACTCTTGAATTAAGGAAATCTTACATTTCACCATACAACACAATCCCTGCATTGTTAGGACGAATGTAGCACTGTCCTTGAGACAGGTTTATTACCGTGGTTTCTACTATCACTGGTAGTAATCTTGATGTTTAAGTCTATTCCGAGAATATGGTAAAACTTGGCTCCCATCATCCGGAGTAAAAATGAGAATAAAGACAAACACTTTCATGTTATGCTGAAAGTATATTTATATATATAGATATAGATATTTATTTTCTGCAGACAGCTTTTACTGATGACTCATTTTAATGTTCAAAGAACAGCCTATTTCAATACTACATAATCTGTACCAGAATGAGATGGATAGCTTCTCAATTCATTTCACAAAGCCAGCACAACTCTGATACCAAAACATAACAATTATAACACAAAACAGAGAATCACAGATCTCACTTAAAAATACAGATGCCAAAATACCAAAGAGAACAGTAGCCAATCGAAATCAACACCACATGAAAATGTACAAAGCTTTGGCAGATACTAAGTTGAACCAAATTTAAATCCAAACTTACACACATAGAACTAGAACATAAACACCAGAAACAAAACGCCCCCCCACCCCACCCCACCCTGTCAGTGGCCTCTGGCCAGGAACCCAAAGGAATGAGATATCTGCGGAAAGAACCACATTAGCGGGGAGGGGAACTGCTGGTGGGGTCACCGGCATTGTCACCGGATCCAGGCTCATCCTCATCCAAATCTTCAGACTCACACTCTGCCAAGGCTTCGAAGTACTGCAAAGGCCAGCACCGTGGGTCTCTCTTATGGAGCTTGGCCAGAAACCTCAAAACAAGCATCTTGCTGGTTTCGAGGAATGCTCGGGGGCCCCAGAGGAACTCATATTCTGCTGGCTCAGTATAGGGGATTCGCCTGTACTCTAGGTACTTCTGCCTTACAAACACTTCGGTGATGAGCTTCTTTGTATTTCCGAAGAGAGCATGTGTCTCTCGGACATCCAACCCTAACCTGTACAGAAAACTAAAGATCATGTCCTCCCTGACACAATTGCCTTTCATAAAGATGAGACTCAGGACCACCATCAGGAGGCCTAACTTGGGCCTGTCTAAGTAGGATGCCACTGGTTCACCCTTGTGGTGCCCCAGCTTGTTGATGATAATGTAAGAGTGGTTTTCGGGATCAATCTCTTTCAGTTGATAACCGAAAACACACTGTAGCTTATTGTTGGCACGGTTGATGATATCCAAGCACTCATCTTTATATTCACGGATGATGAATTTCACCATCTCTGAGCGCTTGATGGGCACCTTGGCTTGGTCCTTGACCAAGAGGAACTGCACCAATGCGTTCGCTCTCTCATCCAAGGGAGACAATGGCTGAGTCTCCAGCTTGGGGTCATTCTGGGTGACACCAAATCCCTGAGAGAGATTGGTGAACTCAGAGATAATCAGGGGCTGAGGGCTACCTGGGCTTTCCCAGAGACCCAGGGCCCTCGAAGTGCTTGGGCCCTCCCAGGCACTCAGAGCCCAAGTTGTGCTGGGCCCTTCCCAGCCACTCAGGATGCGGGAGGTGCTCGGGCCCTCCCAGCCACTCAGGCCACGGGAGGTGCTCGGGCCCTCCCAATCACCCAGGACCTGGATAGGGTTTTCAACCTCCCAGTCATTCAAGTTCAGATTTTCCCAGGGTCTCGGAGCCTGCCAGTCACGCAGGGCCAGCATATGGCCACTGCTGTCCTCTTCGGTATTCAGATGCTTCTTCTTCCGGGTGGCTTTGCCAGAGCGACGCGGTGGCTCAGCAGACGTCTTCGAGGCCTCTTGAGTGGTGGCCATTGCCTTCGGGGCAGCTGCCGTAGCCATCAGGATGGTTGGCACTGCCTGGGCTGCTTTCGAAGCATTCACACTGGGCTGTGGAACCCATGGAACTGCAGGCAGAGCCTCCACGCAGGCAAATGGATCCTGCAGAGCAAGTGGCAGTGACTTCGGGGTCTCAGAGGGGGCAGATGGGCCCTGAAAGGCATTAGAAGAGGCAGGCTGGAACCGGGAGGTAGTTGGAAAGACCCTTGAAGTGGCAGTGAAGGTCTCCGATGTGGCAGGCAAGTTTTTCCAGGCAGTCGGCAGGTGTGCTCGGGCAGCTGACACTGCCTTTGGAGCACAGAACGTGGCAGCAAAGATCATGCGATCCTTCGAAGGGGCCCTCCGTTCCTTTGAAGAGGTCCTCCGTTCCTTTGAAGAGGTCCTGCGTTCTATTGAAGAGGCCCGGGATTCTCCCGATGGAGTCATCAGTGATTTAGCGGAGCCCACGGGAAAATTTGCTGCCGCTATGGGAGCTCCGGGCTGGCCCTGCAAGGCTGCTGGGGGGCCTTGCCAGGAGGGCTGGAGTTGCAAGGTGGGCAGCTCTGCTTGCGGGCCCGAGGGCTGGGCCTGCTGGGTGGGTAGCTGGATTTGGAGGGCCTTTTGGGAGGCCGGGACCCCCTGAAAGGGCTGCTCCAGCTGAACCAGTGGTGGGCCCTGCCTCTGGGCCTCCTGGGTGGGCACAGGCTGCCAGAACTGCCCAGGGGCTTTGGGGGCCTGCCAGGTGAGAGCCTGAGCTTGCTGCACTTCCTGGAATTCCATCGATGTTGGCAGCTCGTGTGGCACTGGGGCTTGGCCTTTGGGGGCCTGCCAGATAATGGGTGGGCAGTGCACAGCTTGCGGGGCCGACAGAGGAGCCGACAGCACAGCCTGAGGTGCCTGCGGGCCAGCGGGAGGCACCGTGGGCACCGTGGGCACCTGCGTGGCTGGCGGAGCAGTGGGCACCTGCGGCGCTGCCCGCACCTGTGGAGCTGCCCGCACCTGTGGGGTGGGCAGCCTAGCCTGCGGAGCCTGCCGCAGCGGCGGCGGGGGTGGCAGGGCCTGCCAGAGTGGTGGTGGGGTGGCCAGGACCTGTGGGGCAGGCCGGATGGGCGGCGGTGCCTGGCGTATCAGCGGTGGTGCCTGGCGAATCGGGGGCGGGGCCTGGCGCACCGGCGGGGGGCCAGGTCGGATGGGTGGTGGGCCCGGGCGGATGGGCGGTGGGCCCTGGCGCACGGGTGGTGGTGCCTGCCAGGTAATGGTCGGAGCCTGCCAGGTGACCTGCGTGGCCTGCCAAGCCAGAGGCGTGGCTTGCCAGCCTTGCGGCTGGGCCTGCCATCCTGGCGAGGTGGCCTGCCAGCCCGGGGGTGTGGCCAGCTGCGCCTGCGGGGCCTGCGGGCCCTGGGGAACCTGCGGAGGAGCCCTTATAACCTGAGACTGGATTTGCAGAATCAGAGGCTGAGCCTGTGGGGCCCAAGAAGCCAGAGGCTGCGCAGGTGGGGCGGCCGGCTGTGCCATCGGGGCTCCTGAAGCTGGAGCCTGGGTGATCGGAGCTCTCGAACCTGGAGGATGAATCATCAGGACGCCGGGACCAGGAGGCTTGGCCATCGGGGCTCCCGGAGGCGGAGGCTGGGTCATCAAGGCTCCTGGGGGCGGAGGCTGGGCCATCGGAGCTCCCGGAGCAGGCGGCTGGACCATCAGGACTCCCGGAGTCAGAGGCTGGGCCATCAGGACTCCCGGAGTCGGAGGCTGGGCCATCGGGGTCCCCGGAGGGGGAGGATGGGCCATCGGTGTCCCCGGAGGGGGAGGGTGAGCCATCGGTGTCCCCGGAGGGGGAGGATGCGCCATCGGTGTCCCCGGAGGGGGAGGATGCACCATCGGGGTCCCCGGAGGGGGAGGATGGGCCATCGGGGTCCCCGGAGGAGGAGGATGGGCCATCGGGGTCCCCGGAGGGGGAGGATGGGCCATGGGGGTCCCCGGGGGTGGAGGATGGGCCATCGGGGCTCCGGGAGCTGAAGGATGCATCATCAGGACTCCCGGAGTCGGAGGCTGGGCCATCGGGGCTCCCGGAGGGGGAGGATGGATCATCAGGACTCCGGGAGTCGGAGGCTTGCCCATCGGGCCTCCCAGAGGGGGAGCCTGGACCATCGGGCCCCCCAGGGCCGGAGGTTGGGCCATCGGAGCCACTGGGGTAGGCGGCTGGCCCTGTGGGGCCTCCCAAGCAGGCTGAGGTGCCTGCCAAGCGGCTAGTGAAGCCTGCAAATCAATCGGAGGTGGATCCCAGGGGACTGGCGGAGCCCGAGAGGAGGCGGGCGGGGCCCGCATCAGAACCGTAGGGCGGCTATAGACCGGAGGCTTAGGGGCCTCGGCCGGGGGACTCGAATCACCCAAATTCTTACTTAGCTGCGACATGTCCCTTTGCTCTGACAGCTGGTGGGCCTTTTCCTCCGACAGCTGCTGGGCCTTTTCCTCCAGAGAGAAGAGAATGCCTACGTGGCTGATCAGAGGATCCCTCCCTGCTGACTGGTGAATAGGAAGTAAGTGCCCTTAGCTCTGCAGCTTTCCGCAGTAAGGAGGAGGGGGGAAGGGGGCTCAATCCCGCCCCTTCCCCGCCCCCGACCACCACAAGTGGATAGTGCATAGGGGCGTCTACCAGAAATCCTGGCTGACACAAGATCCCTTCTCACTCTGTCCAGTCCCCAAATGCAGCCTGGTGAGACTTACCATGGATGAGTTTTCACAGAGGAGTGACAGGAACAGATCTATGTTTCAGAAATCACAGTTCTGCAGTATAGAGTAGGAACAGACCACTGGTAACATGGAAGGCATCCATGAGGGGGGAGATGGTGTGGTCTGAGCTCAGATACAGCAAAATCGGAGTCAGAGAATAAAAGGAGTGAATCTATGTATATGAGAGATTTAGGAATCATAGCAGGCTGCTATTATAATTTAATGTAAAAGGGATGGAGAAGACGTATAAGTCTGTCCTGGGAAAGTGGAGAATTGATAGTGTGGTTGATTCTCTTAGGGACACAGTGGGAGGCACATAGCAAGAGAGATGTATGAGTATTGATTGGGACATGGACATTTGCAGTCCTTTGGGACTGCCAAAGAGAGATGCTCTATAGATGGTCTTGTATGATGGCTTGGGATTCAACAGAAAACTGAACTGAGAGTTAAGGTACTCCTTAACTGTGGGAGTGAATGTATTTGCAGGAGAAGTGTTAAGAGTGAAACTCCTGAGATATGTCTTGAAGAATACAGACATTTTTAGATACAGGCAGAGAAAAGGGACGGGCAAAGACTACAGAGAGAAGAAAAGAAATCATGGAAATTCAGATGCTCCAGGTATCAATGGAAGACAGAATTTTTAGTACCAGGAAAATTTCCTGTGAAGTAGCTGGGATGAAGGAACAAGGTGGGTTTCTTAGTGCTGTTCATCAGTTACAGAGCAGGAAAGAAATCATAAAAATGAAAGCCAAAAATGTACTAGAAAAAAATAAAATGAGTGAATAAATAGATCTAAGATTAATATATAGGGAAAACAGATGAAGAATAAAATATGAGATTTCAGGGACATCTACTTGGGCAAAATCAGTTTAAAAATTATCTATCTATCTATATATATATATATATGCAGGTAAGGCAGAAGACATAAAAATGATTGGTTAACACTATATTACTTCATGTTGAAAGGATGTGACAGTCTCACTTCTAGCTGGACAGTTTTCTGGAAATAGTCAAAACACTAAATAAGAATGTTTAGTTTAGAAGAGACGGTTTTCACCTAGGGCAAGAGTCCAGAAAGATACGATGAAAGATACCACAAGGGGGCAGAAGAGAATGTGAAGGCCATACCCTACTCTTCCTGAGGTACCCTTATCCGATGTTCCTCAAATTTGGTAATTTATGAATTCCAGTCAAGACATAAATTCATTCTTAAGGTAGTTATTGCTTTAAATAATGAGGAATAATTTCAGAATGAGGTTTCAGTGTTTTATTTTCTGGCATCTGAAGAGGCGAGGAATCAGTTATTATTCCTAGGGACACCTTCCTTTTCAAATACAAACATCTCTTTCCTGGTGCCTAATATATCACATATATACCCGCATATATATACCTTATATACCCACAGAACTGCTACTACTGAATGGAGACCACCATGCTTCATGGCTTCCAGGTCCCTCTTGTGCATTAATAGTTCATATAGGACTTCTCAATTTGGTAGGGGTTTACAAACACCTTAGAGGGACATACTCTGGGCATATAACCTCGGTGTTCCTGGATCACCAATCCTGACACCTGGCAGTTACTGGCTATGGTTGGCTTTGAGAAATTGAGTTCATTTTTCAGCCTATGGCATTTCTACCCTCAATAAGACATACTTGCTTCTCCTCTAATTAAAATGTATAGTTTTCTGAGAGATTAAATTCTTTTACTAACCATTTCTTTTTTAGTATTATGACATATTTAACCTTCAATCCACCATTATGTGAGTTATCCTACACAATATATGGCTACTAGTAGGTCCCAACTGTCCCCAGTGACATTGGGTGGCAATGAATAGCATCGCCACCCAATGTCAACTCCCACTAAGTTCATTATGTAAAAGGAGGCCCAATTTATGCCTAAAGGTGATACAGAAACAAAAAAGGAAGTATTGGGAATTAAAAAAAAAATTAGCATCATTCAGAATGGAAAGTAGTCAACTTTTACTTTAGCACCTGTGTGATTCATTGGGAACATTGTTTAATTGGTAGAGAAAAACTTGGAAATAAGCATTTAGTGATTCTGGTGGGACTAGGAACCCTGATGAAATGGGTTTATCCTTCCCTGGAAAACCTTCCTATTTTATACAATCAGTGCTCTCAGACACAGGCTACTTGAAAACCTAGCTACTCACAAATTACCTACTCCAACATCAAATACATGTGGGAAAATGAAGTAACATATAACTTCTTTGCAAAGATTGACTGCTTTAATAACAGGGAAACTCAAAGCTGTCCTGAGTACAGTGGGGGATTTAGACTATAAAGTTTAAATAGGTCTCCCCAAATCTGCCTTCTCCTTATGGGATCTTTCAGCTTCTTGAAGCCATACCACCCTTCTGTGTATATGGCCTTCCACTTCTATGCCTCTGAACCAAGACTTGCCAAACTTTTATTTCCTTGCTTCTCCATGAAACAACTTAAAAACCCAAGGTGAGTAGAAAGCAAAAGTCAAATATAAATAAAAATTCCATGGGATGTAGGGATCTATCTTCTAACATAAAAGATTTTCAGTATTTTTTTTGAAGATTTTATTTATTTATTTGAGAGAGAAAGAACAAGCAAGGGAGGGAGAGGGAGAAGCAGTCTCTCCAGTGAGCAGGGAGCCCGACGTGGGGCTCATCCCAGGACCCTGGCATCATGACCTGAGCTGAAGGCAGATGCCCAACCCACTGAGCCACCCAGGCGCCCCAGATTTTCAGTATTTTCATAAATATATAACAAAAGGATAACAAAACTGATTTTAAAAATTGGGGGAAGGAGAACTGAGAATAGACAAATAGAAGCAGGAAAATCATTGAGGCATGTATATTAATTTTTTATATTTGCGTACTATCCAATTTAGCATAAGAATGGAGCTTCCATGCTGGCTGGAACTTTGTTTTATTCACTCTTTTATACATCCTGTTCATCCTGAATGGCCACTAAAAATAATAAAGGTGTAAGATTAGAATAACAACTATGTACCTTTCACTCCCATATAACTGTTAGACTTAGTGCAAATATTTATAAGTGGGTAAAATAATCAGTTATGATTTTCAAAAAGTCTAAAATAATGTATTTATGAAATGCCTTTTATTAAGGATTCAGTATGTGCCTAGCACTCTGATCTGTGTAGTGCTGCAGAGGAAAATCTAAAACCAAACTTATAGACACATACAGATATTGACATGGTATTTTTAGTGCAATAAACTGTTACTGTTTGCAGTGTATAAAACTCATATTGGTCATAGTTGATGCAAATAACTGAGTAGTCACTTATGCTTGAAACATGGGAGGGGGTGGGGGGTGTAATGCTGGCAGTAGCAAGGAAAAGAAAAAAAAAAACAAACAAACTGAAAGCTGTGGGAGAGATTCATGAGTTTCTCCAAATAGACAGACTAAGCCCTAAAAGAAAAAAAAAAGTATAGGATGTATCAGAAGTACAAGGCATTTGAAGGAAGAATTACAAGGAATTCATTAAAATAGCATTAACTACTATTAATTGAATGCCTATTATGTGGTCAAATACCATTCTAAAATTTTTATAGACATGGTATAATCCTCACAAAATCCACAGGTGTTTGGCCCCATTTAACACATCAAGAAGTTGATGCTCAGGATGGTAATTAACTTGTCACAGATCTGGCAATGTATTTCCAAATCTGGAATTAAAGCCTGATCTATATTAGTTCAAAAGCCAACATTCCTCACCATTACACCAATGCTGCCAAAATATTTTTTCCAAAATATTTTTTTAGCTTTAAATTTAATTAATATAAAACAAAATGCATAGATTTACAGTTGACTGTTTAGTGAGCTTTTTCATGGAGTAGCCATCTCTCAAAACAAAATAAGTAACATTTTGTTTATCAAATAAAGGTCCAATGTGCCTTTTCTCAGTCAAATCCTCTATGTCCAAAGGCAATCATTCTTTTTAAAATTTTATTAACATATAATGTATTATTTGCTTCAGGGGTACAGGTCTGTGAATCATCAGTCTTACACAATTCACAGCACTCACCATAGCACATACCCTCCCCAATGTCCATAACCCACTCCATCCCACCCACGACCCTCCCTTCAGCAACCCTCAGTTTGTTACCTGAGATTAAGAGTCTCTTATGGGGGTGCCTGGGTGGCTCAGTTGGTTAAGCCTCTGCCTTCGGGTCAGGTCATGATCTCAGGGTCCTGGGATTGAGCCCCGCATTGGGCTCCCTGCTCAGCGGGGAGCCTGCTTCCCTCCCTCTCTCTGCCTGCTTGTGATCTCTCCCTCTGTCAAATAAATAAATAAAATCTTTAAAAAAAAAAGTCTCTTATGGTTTTTCTCCCTCCCAGGTCCCATCTTGTTTCATTTTTTACCTCCCTATCCCTCCATGACCCTCCACCCTGCCTCTCAAATTCCTCGTATGAGAGAGATCATATGGTAATTGTCTTTTTCAGATTGACTTCGTTGGCTTAGTGTAATACCCTCTAGTTCCATCCATGTTGTTGCAAATGGCAAGATTTCATTTTTTGATTGCTGCATAATATTCCATTGTGTATATATATACACCACCTCTTTTTTAGCCATTCATCTGTTGTTGGACATTTAGGTTCTTTCCATAGTTTGCCTATTGTGGACATTGGTGCTATAAACATTCGGGTGCATGTGTCCCTTTGGATCACTACATTTGTATCTTTAGGGTAAATGCCCAGTAGTGCGATTGTTGGGTTGTAGGGTAGCTCTATTTTCAACTTCTTGAGGAACCTCCATACTGTTTCCCAGAGTGGCTGCATCAGCTTGCATTCCTGCCAACAGTGTAGGAGGGTTCCCCTTTCTCTGCATCCTCACCAACATC